CATGTTCGGGAAGGTAAAGAATCAGGAATACATTAGCCTGTAAGGTTCCACTAACCCAAGCTGCTATACAGACACATATAAACTTCAAAGGGTAAACGCAGTATTCCTGATCTGCACACAGCATGCCGGTTAGCGAAAGTGGGAAAAATGCCGCCAACCTTCTTGGCCAACAACTCGGCCGTAACTTCCATATTATGCAATCAGCTTCTACCCTGCATGCGCAGAGCATTTCGCCATAAATCCTTAACCACATAACATTTACAACCCCAGCTGTACTGAAACGACTGATATACTTGAGGGGGTTTAGCTCCCCAAGTTCAGAAGACGTTCGCCTAACGGCATAGAAAGTTACTGCTTTGAGTATAGCTGAATCGTTAGCAAAACGCTTTAAGCGCTGTCTGACAGGGTTGCACATCCCCACGATGAGGAAGCGGGGATCATCACTGAAATCTACAAAAGTGGTAGCTGTGCAGAACCAGCTAATTTTCTCCCTGTAACACTTATTCCAGTGATCTCTACGATCATGGCTGTGGTGTTTAACGAGTACTCGAAAGGTAACAAACTTCCCGTTCCGGAGCAGCACCGATTGTGTCAAAATCTTTTAAGTACCATTAACCTGTTGATCGCTCGTACATGCTGGACGGAATCTGTGGCTCCTGGTGTAGGTGCAGTGGCACCCTACCTATATTTCGCTAAACTACACTACGGTTAACACATTCCAACGAACAGGCGCTAGAATTATGGAATCGATGGTCGCATTCTGTGCTGGATAGGCGACTTTCTCGTTCAACGTCACCTGAATGTGTAGGTTCGTAGCGCCATGACGGAAACAACCAAAGTTAAGTGAGGCGTACCTCAGAGATGGCTACTTCAGTCCGCCTGTTTCCGGTCATCCTTGTTATCCCGCAACTGTTATATTTTTAGGGCGTCTACTATTTAACAATAAGCTAAAGATTTGATTCGTTATAGCTACAGTGGAGGAGCAAAAAGCCCTAGAGGAAGAATTGCATAAAAATTATGCAGTCTACTGCGAACATACTGCAGTTACAAAATACAGCTTAGTACGCATGCGCCTGAAGATTACTCAACAACCGGCTGAAGAAACAAACTAGGCAGCTGGCTTTTCATGAGTGCGACCTCGACTCTATGATCCAAATAAACTAGGCTGTTTGAGGAACCCTGAATACGCAGCAAAATGGCAAGCCGGCAATTCGGCTTTCTTCGTAGTGCTTTCAGCTGCTTGACACCACGGTCTTTCAGAAACTGCATAACGCGTACGTAAGGCCGCATGTTATCTAACCTTGGCAACCCTGGCAGTAGCAAAACTACCCTGCACTGATACCACACAACGTAAGGCGAAGAAGGATGTCAAATTTGTCCTGCCCACCCCACAGCCAAGAGGAGGATTCAAAAACTTTACAGCGAAAGTTGTCAACGTTTACGGGGCGACCTCGTAATGGTGCATTAAATCCTAAAAGGTCACAACCGCACTTGCCACACCCCCTTGAGGCACAGCAAAAACACAGCACCAAGTGGTCATCAGGTTGAGTTGGCCATGCAGCACAGTCAGCTGGAATGTCGACGAAACACTTTCCCACCGGGTGTCAGTGAGTTGGAACGCGCTTGTGGCGCCTGTTATTAAAGAACCCAAATCAACCCAATTTAATGAATGGCTTGAGGACGCCCTGATACATTTACACAGTGTGACGTAGCCTGTGAGCATCAGATGATGGGACAAGTACATAACAAAAGGTGAAAGATCTCATTAACCTCCTAACCTCCAGAGAGGAATACTCACACATGTGTTATTCCAAACCACTTGGTGCGTTATGTACCTCAAGCCCAATTTTGCTGACCCAGTACTTGTTGTTTTTACCCCAACCAGCCTACGGAACATGCCAAGTATTTAATTTTACACCAGTCAAAAACATAGCACCATTTCATCAAAAGTATACACGAAGGTTGCGCTCTTGTCTCCGATTTACTTAAATGTGGGATGGGAGTTAAATAAAAAATTAAATGGTTTACCTTTGGGTTTATCGATGCACACCAAAGCAGGCATGACCAATACCACCCTGGCGATTATGTAAAGCCACAGCCATGTTGTCTGGGATTGAATAGGCTGACTCCCCAGAGACCTCGAAGGGACCACGAGAAGCTTTACCTAAACTTTCTCCCAGGCTGACTCACCAGTGTCGGCTACTGCGGGCAGCCAATGCGGAACGATGGTTTTGTTTGTCTTGCGTTTAAGTTCACCCACAAATTGGTTGGTCAAATCTAAGCGGTAGCTTTTTGATACTTAGAATGAGCACCTCAAAAGCATATGAAGATATGCTCGTCGACCAAAGGGAGAGTCCTACTTAGCATCACTTAAAAAATAAGTGTGTTCGCAAAAATAAGAACCAAGGCGGAAGAGTGTTGAATGCTATGTATCTAGTAGAAAGGTGCACGAATTGGTGCAAAAACAGTTGTAATGATAGCTCGAGAAAATCGGAACCTAATGTGTCCTTCGCACAACCGCAAGCCAGATAAGCCAAGTAGACTTCAGAAAGGTCGGTTCACAAGTACTAGCCATTGAGCAGCAGGCTGGTTGGGAATAAACTCTACAGCATGCTTGGAAGTAAGCACATTTCGACCGGGCTTCAGCAATTTTATCCACTGGGCTAAACACCTTCAACAACAAAGCTACTTTCCAACTCACATAATGAGCAAAGCACCCAGCGTCAAGGTCAAATAACGATCAAACCTAAGCCGCGTGCATACAGTTTAACATAATTCGCCGTCCATGACTCACGGGGAAACCAAAGTTTAGTGAAAGCGGGAACGTCAGGACGATAGGTTCTTACACGTGGACCATCTTCGCGTGCCTTGTTCCTTAGGCTGCGCAAATGGCCGGGTACTACTTCAAGAAACTCGGTAGCAACAGCCACGGGTCGTGCGTTACAAACACAGTTACAGGCAGGGCAAAATTTGGTCTCTGGCACAGCTCCAGTTAAACCACAGTACAGAGTCCTAGCTCACTAGCCTCCCACTTGTTTTGGGGTATTGTTAGAATCCTTTAACTTTGGCATATGTGCAATTGGGATACGCTGCTGTGCCTTGACATACATACTTTGTATTTGAAAATCACATGGAGTAACATTGCGATTTTTATGGTTGACAGGCCGACGCGAATTACTTAGGGCCGCAGGGTTAGCACACTGAATCTTACGTTTCCAAGTCTAGTCAGCTTGCTGCTTGTGACACCGCGGAAGGTAAGTGGAAACTGCTTAGTGACACGAGGCTTAGACCACTGGAGGTAACCCAACAGGCTTTCCTGGAAAAAATTGCATCACATTTTGTAACCTTACGGAAGATAATGCTTTGATCGGTAAAAGAATTACCTTGCATATGCCCATAAACCCTAATATCTTTTGTTTGGACACTAGGTTTAAGCGGCTTAACCAAAATTGGCAAGGCGAATGTTTCCTTCAAAGGAGCTGAGGCAATAGTGCTTGGAGCATTGTGCCTGCTCGCCATCTCCAGGATTCTAGTCGGCAAAGCTTTTCGACAGCCTTACGGAATTTCTAGGCACCATTCCTCTTGGTTTTAGCAGCTACCAACGTATACACATCGCGATTGACATTAAGCAACTCTAATACGCCCTCAGCGACATCGTTATATGCATGGTGCGTAGATGGAGCATTATGCAAAATAGCCACGGCCTTAGTCGGATTCTCTTCTACTACAAATGAAACAGGCTGAATGGCCTCGTTAAACAGGGCGACATGGATACAGACTAAAAATTTATTCATCTGCTATCATAATTTAATGTCAGTAGAAGAAGGAATGACTACATATGCGAGGCCCCAGCCCGACGTTCGTTGCTGTCTCATTTATAGCATCAAGAAGCCACGCCAAAGCCTACAGCATACAGCATACAGCGCAACTAAACAGAAAAAATCGAGAGACGAGAGCAACGCGTACTGGATAGAGATCAAGATAGTGCAGCTCGCATGGTATCAGATTAAACCATGCACGCACCCGGACCCATCCGTCAAAGACCTTGGGTTACTCATGCTAGCATAAGCAGCAGTAGATTTACAGATCAGTGCTCTCGAAGAGACAACAGAGCCAATATTCTGCGAACAAAACTAGGTCAATTCAACATCGTGAAACCTGCGTGCTGTTACTAGCAGTGCAGTCAACGGTACAAATTATGGATTAAAAAACAATTTGGTTACAAAGACACAAAAGTACAGAAGAATTACCTTGATGTTAATGGGAAAAAGATGGACGAGGTTACGGTGAATTTCGGGTGACGGGTCCGAATCCCACCGGGCAGAACATTGATCTTAATTTATTTAAATGAAACAAATTTAACCCGTCAGATAGTTGCACGACAACGTAAAAATGTTCCAACACTATGCTTTGAAGGAGATACAAATTGTTGTGTCTCCACCCTAAAAATGTAATTTCGCTGCCAAGCAGAAGCGTCAACTTATATTATATTTTAAAACATCTGTCTATTTGACGTTTAACTTACTTTTTCAAATCCCAAAAGTACATTAGTATGTGTTTACTGATATACAATTTTATGTTTAACCTTGCCATTAACGGCAAATTCTGCGCTCTTAAGATTGCAACTTTATGAAATTAGGTCGATTTTGCACTGGGTATGCGTGAATTCCCAAAAGCGGATTCCATCGAATGCTTTTTAGATCCTGTAGTACAGCTAAAGCAAAATACGTAAATAGTGAGTAACAATACCAGCGAATTTATTAGTAGTATTTTATAAACGGTTGCCAATTACAATATTATTTAAAGTATAAGGTTGAAAAGTTTTGTCTACATCATTTGCACCGCATCAGTGCAAGTAATCATGCGCGTAAAAATATCCATCCCAACGAGATCAGTAGAGGAAATATTTGATAATCAAGCTCCGTATTTCAACAAAGTTAACAGCAAACTCTAGATATTGTTTACGACTACCATGCTCAATTTGTACTGCAGCACGCCCACCTTTACTGCGTTAGTTCGACTTTGCGCAATCATACGGTCCCCTTACGGTTCAATGCTGTTTTCCATAATCCTTGTGTTTTCGGGCTTTCTCGTTGATTTGTGCAGATTTGAACCGAGTCCTTTGTGCGAGTCTGGTGATAGACGATTTAGCGATGTTATTAAGAAAGGGAAAGCGCTGGATGTCGTAAGTTTTGTTATCATTAAGCATTTGGTCTAGTTTTATTTCATGAATGATACAAAGGAAACGATTCAGCTGACATGGGCAGGCGAAAACAGTGGAGTAATGTTTACTGCATAGTCTTCATAAGGCTTTTTGTAGGTGTTGATATTGGTTACGATGACTGATTTAGAAAACGGACCTGGTTTGACCTCCGATATATATCGCAGGTAATTGCTGTTGCGACTATAATTTTAAAGTGAAAACAATGGAAAGAACTTCCATAAAATCACTTATGAGCTTGGTGAGAGAGTCTATATAAGAAGAGAGAATGGGCTACAACGTCACCAAAATCAGAGGGATTCCATGGAAGTGAGGCTTCCACTTGCATCAATTTACTCTTTAGTTGTTTGTTGTTTGTTACGATCCTGACAACCGAGAGCATTCAATTATTTTTGTTACAAAAGATGGTGGCGCTTCTTGGGACAAGTCTAATGTCCCTTTCGTTTTGAGCGGCCAACTAAGATTCTACCCACGGAAGCGCTTGTCCCCATGGATACTTACGGTGGAAGAAAAGACATCTGTAAGAGATATTGCTTTAGTTACTTTTATCTGCAGAAATTATTTTTATCACTCGACAATGGTAACTCGTGGTCGAAGGTCCATGAGAATGTTGTTGACTTTTTTTGGTAGGTGATTACTGAGTCATGCGAAATCTTCGTAGGTCAATCTACGATTCTGATCCAGACGAAACTTTTTACGTGCTCTACAAAACAGCGCACACTATCAGTAAGTCATTGTTTGTAACATATACTCCCTCCTGCGAGTTGCTTACACTTTCTATTTAAGGTTTAACGTGCCTGCTCCTCGGACGTTTTTATCCCGCGCTTCTGGTTCACCCACTAAACTAAATACTTGGATCTGCCAAGCCGTAGTTCACCTGATAGTTTCGTTTGCTATATTTAAGTGGCTTGATATGTAACCTTTTACTATCTGCGATCCCTCACTCGACAACGTCATTCCTTCAAGACTAGTCGTACATGGTACAATCGTAAAGGGAGAGGCGATATTATAGCTCGCCCCATGTTTTTACACTTATTCTAACCTTTTCTAAGTATTTTCGCTTGCAACTCTTCATTCATCTTGCTACTTGTCCATGTGGTGAAAAATGTCCTTCCAGTCTACTTTTTGCATTTCGGTTCTTTTATCATATTCGACTGAGAATGATTACGCCTGCATCCACGCAGCCGATATCATTTTAACTACTCTAGTCATTTTAACCTTACGCCTACTTACAGTGTGGCATATGGATGCTCAGTTATGATAAAGGCCCAGCTTGACAAAACTTTTGTACCTTATAACGAGCCCCACTGGCGTTTATTGAAGTTGTGTTGAACGTTTGCTTTCCCAGCCATATCTGCCTTTCAATCTGGCTGCACAAATGTGCCATATCGTTCCAACGTGTTTAATTTAAAGAGTGAATAGCTTTCACTGCGAAATAGACTCACCTACTTCATCACGCTGCATTTCGCTACCGGTTCTCCTCACCCTTTCGTGGGTGATGCAACATAAGATCCCTTCGATTGGCGACCAAAGTACTGTTTCCTCTCATGGTTAATCAAACCTTTTGGACTTCTATTCAAAAGATTTTAACTTCCAGATCTCAGCTCATTGAGTTCTAGAGGGTAAGGTTTCTTCTCTCGTACCTAATACCGAACCATTTGAATGCACTACTGCGATCTGTTACATCACAAGGAACTACCAAGGCGCTCTACTATTCGTGCCATTATTCATCCTAAACCTGTCACAATTCGCATAAAGACCTGGTAGTGCCGGGCACATTACGACCATATGGTCTACTTTTCATGTATTAAAACCGTGTCTGCAAAAGGGTACCGAGTTTTATGGTATGGATATGATTCAAGTTATGTAGCGGACCATTTTTAAATCAATTATCTTGTGCTGTTCCATGAAGTCGCTTATTATTTAGACAGTTACGGGCAGCACCGGTGACCCCACACAATACAATAGTTCATCTCGCTCGCTTTCAGGGACGGCCCAGCTCCCCTATTATTTTTGAATGTATTCTCAACTGACCCAGGTTAAGCCACAAGTACTTTCATTCACTGAGTTGTACAGGGCAGAAGGAAAGACCCATCTTAGCCCCATTACCTCCAGTTCTGCACTAAGAACACGTATATCAGCGCGACGTGGTATTACTCAGGGAACCGAAGCAATCGCAGTTTGACAGTGCGGCCTTGGTTTCCTGCATAGGTGTGTATCTAAGAGGTATTCGAATCCGTCCTTGGTCGCCCTGCCAACAACAGTCGCGGGTAGCCGATTCCAGTCGTTCACTATCCGGTTGAAGAGAGTGACAGCCGTGGCGAATTTAACCCTCCTCGATTTGAATAGCTTCAGTTGCGACCTCGTATATAGCCACCTATGTTAGGCTGGAAAAGCTGCTGTAGCTCGTTCCAAAGTTTCCCCTTAGTAAAGCTAAGGTTTCCATGACAGCGACATCCATTCATTCATTATACACCTTAGCTCCAGGTGGAAAACAACTCAGTTATTGTACCGTAATGCAAAATACATGAAAAGAACAGTGGCACACCGGCTGAGTCCCCAGTAACGGATGGACATCGTTCCTGAAAGCTAACGGTCGGCTATCGTGCTGCAAAACGTTATATTATGCCTAACGAGTGAGATCATGGTTGGAGGGGGATGCTAAGCAGGAGGGGGATGAACAAAGCAATTCACAACACAAACGCCATTGGAGCACGCTCCTAGCCACCTCAGCAAGTGTGTCCAACCAAACGTGTTCATCGTCCTTAGGACCCCAGCCACGCAGTCGGGATGAATCAACAGCGGCCAACTTCGAAGTGAGGGTTTTCATCTCTCTCGATCAAGTCATCGCACGGCCTCCCATCCTCATCTTCCAACCGCACCCAAAACGCGAAAACAATGCACGTCGCGGGAGTCGGTGTGCTGGCATGCGCAACACGTGGCCCATCCATCGGAGCCTGTTGCGTGATATAATGGCGCTGAGTGATTCACTCACTCTTCCTGCACCAAATACGCGACGCCGAATACGCTCATTGCTCACGCGGTGCTGCCATCAGAAATGAGCTAAGCTGCGAAGGCACCGATGATCAAATGTGGCGAGCCTCTTTATATCTGTTGACCTGATGGTCTAGGTTTCACAACCATATAGGAGAGTCGAACGGACGGCTGCATTATAAACTCTTCCCTTCAGGACGAGCGTAATGTCGCGTCTGCGCAACGGGGGGCGGAGATTGGCAAAAGCACAAATTTTTGCTATACGGTTCGTAACCTCATCTCCGATCCCACGGTCTCTAATATAGCTGCCCAGGTACTTGAATTTCTGAACGACTTCTAGCAGATCACCACCAAATGTTAGCGCAGGGGTGGATTCCTGCCAATCTTTGAGAAGTACTTTGCATTTTGATGGAGCAAAGCATAGCCCAAGACGATTGACAGCCAGTGCTAATCGGTCCAGCGCTCCTTTGCATGTTTGGGAGGTTTCACAGATTAGGGTAATATCGTCCGCGTACTCCAAGTCAAGAAGTCGCTCCCCAGAAAGCAGCTCCCCACCTTCTAGGTCATGTCCAGCGAATACTGATTCTAAGACTTCGTCAACTGCGAAGTTAAAGAGGAAAGGCGAAAGCGGGCAACCTTTTATCATACCGCTTGTGGTATTGATTGGTGGCGACAATTTGCCATAAATCCTCACTCTACCCGAACTATGCGCGTACAGCGCTTTGATAATGTTTACGTATTTATCAGGCACACCTTTCCTCAGTGGACAGTTCTAAAGGGCACATCGATCGACTGGGTCGAAGGCCATTTTATGTCAAGAAACACAACAACGGTAGGTCGCCAATAAACATGGCGATGCTCCAACAATTGACGCAAGGTGAAGATGTGGTCAATGCAGACCCGACCTCGACGAAATCCGGCTTTTTCTTCACGGATCTGGCTTTCATGGGTACCAGTCCGTCTGTGGAGAATGACAGAGGCAAGCAATTTAGAGGCAATTGAGATCAGACTGATCCATCTATGATTGTCGCATTCCGAACGGGCGCTTCCCTTGAAAATTGGGACTATGTCGGAGCAGCTCCAGTCTGTCGGGACAGTCTCCTGCTCCCAAAGTTTCACCAGCAATTCATGTAAATGATCTACTGGAGCAGGTCCCCGGATTTTGAAGTGGGCTGGGGGAATTCTATCTGCCCCTGCTGCCTTATGCACTTTCAACAGCTTGATCTCACATTCGACTTCTGCGCGTAAGGGCGGATCCAAGGAGACGGTCCAGAGAGTAGGGCGCTCAATGCCCGAAAAAGAAAGCAATAACTCAGCTTGGTTAAATTGCTTTGCAAAGTATTCGGCCCAACGCTCCAAGCGTTTTGACACGATGTGGATCGGCTGCCCACTCTCGTCGCGTATGGTCTCGCTAATACCAGGTCTCCTGCTACCTGTTTCCTGTATTAGATGGAATAACTTACGTTGATTACCAACGGTTGAGGCTGTTTCCATCTCCGAGGCATGATGAGACCACCAGGCTTCGCGGTATTTCTTCAGGCTAGCACGCAATTTTGCCCTGAGATTTTGCGGGCCTCATTGTATTCGCTTCCAGTCGGAATACGTTGGTGAGCATACATAAATTCCAGAGACTTTTTACAGACCTAATGTCTAGGTTGGCAATTTGATTGGTCACAGGAAGACATGCCTACGGATAGTAACGGTTGACGAATATGCGACCAGTGATCTTCGACAGTGTTCAGTGGGCGCCTACTCAGCCCGGATGTCAGCGCATTTTACTACACATTCAGAACACTTGGTTTCGCCAGCTGGCTGATGTCAATCCGTTCACCTCGACGTTGCTGACATCCACCGAAACGCACCCGGAGGTCGGCGCAGACAGCGACGGTATTCCATGAAGAAGAGGTTCATCTCCTGAATCCGGAGTGAGTAGCGATGATCACGAAGCCCTGAAATGGACTTAGGTCCACATCTCTGGACCTCTTCGAATAAGTCACATTCAAATTTAGAGAGTGGAAATGTAGCCGGCAGCCCATTCCCCAGAATCGGTCGTACATGGTAGATGAACAGGCACCTGAAGATCATCGGTGACATTCGAGAGAAGGATCTTCTTATGGCACAGAACATTCTGTTTGAAGCGGCAACCATTTTCAGTGTATCCTGTGTGGTTTTATGATCAGGTGCTATTATTACAACTAGATCTTCCTCCTGAGCGGCGTGTTTGAGAAGGAACCCACCAATATGGTAAATTCCAAGTGGCTCAGAAGCCCCCATCGCTAGTACGCAGCATTTTTCGTAGTTTATTGGTAGGCCCCACTTGATGGACCAGTTATGCAACAGATCATGCGTCACCTGTAGTCGATCAGACACTACAGATGACAGCTTGAAGTCACCCGCATAGATCAAACATTCGGTCTGGAATGCTGCAGGAAGATCACTGATATACAGTTTGAACAGTTTGGGTCCAAAAACGGATCCTTGTGGAACACCACTTGTCATGAGCACTGACTTGGAAAGCGTATCATTCACTCTCTCTTGCGTGGTCCGGCCTTCCAAGAATTCGACAATCCACGAGTGAAGGCTGCCGCTAATACCGATTTCCATGAGCCTCCAAAGTAATCGCTAGTGTGGGACTTTATCGGACGCTTTGATAAAATCGATGAAAACCACATCAATGCGTTGTCCGGCGTCATTTGACTTCGCTCGCTTTTCTCTCGCCAATAGTAGGTTGG